TTAAGGTCCAGGCGGGTGTGTGGGGGTCAGACGCTAATACTACATACACCTTTGCTGTCGGGGCCTGAGCCTCTGCGGACTTTGGTGTCTGTGGATGGCTCAGGGCCAGGGGACTGAAGCCACCTGCAGCCACCGCGCACGCCAGGTTCCTCCTTTGTCTCTGGAATCTTTGTTTCCCTTCACCATGTGGCCAGTTCCTAGGTATCCTTCACACACTGCACACGTGTTTCCCTGGGAAGGCGGAGTGGAGCCTCATTTGTACCCTGTGGGCCTCTCTGTGTCCCTGTTCCTATCTTCCCACATGAGGTGCAAAGGCCTGGTGATCCTCCGCCTCCTGCTGGCCTGGGCCCCTCTTCCGACTGGGGGCCACTTTTCTTAGCTGCACACACCCCTTCTTTAAGCAGCTGTTTACAAAGTGCAGCTCCAGCCCCAGGAAATGGCAGGGAGTCAGCAGGCACATTGCTGCTGAGACACACACTTGCCAGGCCACGTGCAATGCATTACACACACATGCATACAACCCAGGGCCTTTGCACGGAGCTGTGTCCCCCATCCTCTTTTATTTTCTACTCTGAGACAAGGTCTTGCTAAGTTGTTTAAATTGTCCAAGCTGTCTGTGCTCCAAATTGCATTCCTGCTGCCTCAGCCTCCCAGAGTGCTGGGATGACAGGTATATGCCACCACTCCTGGCTAATTATTCCACTTCACAGCTGGGGAAACTGAGGCCTGGGGCAGTTAAATCACATGGGTACTAAGTAGGGTAGAGATCACAGCATCGTCCATCTGTCTGAAGAATCGACTGCTCCTACCCATTACTGATCCGAGGACGGGAGCCACACTGGGCGTGGTTCAGTTAGATCCCTGCTATCGCTTGGGATGAGCCGGCTGCCCCTGGCATACAATCAGATTCAGCTGCTAGATTTCCATTGAATTTTTCATGAGAGATGTTATTTTCTTTGGAGCCTATAAATAGTGATTTCTGTACAAAGCTTTGTCTTTGTTCACATCTGCTATTTACTACGCATGGCAGACAGTGACGCCATTGTTCTAAGTGTATGAATTTCATTTAGAATTAAAAAATGTATATAAAGTGCATATTTTATATATGTATATGGTAAAATTCACTCTTCCGCTGTGCGGGTCTGTGAGGTTCTGCACAGGAAGAAGGGACCTTGGAGCGTGAGGTCTTTGGGCCAGGCCTTGGGGTGACCCTGTCCTCCGTCTGTTGTGGCTGTCATGGATTCTAGAGCATGGAACTGTTTACAAATGCCACAGTGCATGGCTTGGTGGCCCACACACCCGGGCAGGAAGTGAAGAAACCCAGAGTGACCTGCACCCTGGTTACTTGCGTGAAATCAGGGGCCACACCTATTCCCCAACGAAGTTTCCATCCAAAGTCAGACCAGGTCCTGCGTCCCTATAGACCGTCAGGGCAGGTGGTGGTCACCAAGGACCCAGAAGACACCTGTCCTCTGGCGTCTGCTGTGGAAAGGACCCCACACCATGGAAGGAGCTCAGTTCCTCTGCTGACGCTTTGCTGCATGTTGCACGTGTTGGAGGAAAGGCCCTGGGAAGGGCGGTCTCTGATCAGCTTTACTTCTCTTGAAGGCAGCATCTTCTCAGCTCTGTACCTAGGGACCCTGTTCTGGGATGAAGAGCCCCTGAGCTCAGGTTCTGTAGGACATGGCTTGAAAATCCTGATTAAAAGGCAGAAGGACAATTAATTTCATGAAAGAAAATGAGGAAGTCACATCAGCTCTTGCTTTATTATGGGTTTATTTATTTATATTTTTCAGAACTATACTGGCACCTGAGACACTCCAAGAGCTTGGACCCCTAGATTTGAACCAAGCTCTGCCATTGTGGAAGTGGAGAGCAGGCTGGGGCTCCTTTCCTGGCACATGGTGCACTACAACAGCCCTGTCAGACTGAGCCAGAAAAGCTAGTGAATGTGACGAGGCTGTGCCACTGCCAGCGGGGCCAGGCTTTGGAAGCCTGCGCCAGCTGCTGCTGATTCACGTTTTCCTGCTTTCTGCTCCAGCCTGTCTGTGCTTCCTGGACAGGCAGAGTCCAGGCCTCTTTCTCTGGGTTCTGGAGTATCTTCCAGAGAGCTTGGTGGGCCTCCTCACTGGGGATGCACACCCTATGGCTGGCTTCTATCTCAGGGATCCAGGGCAAGTTTTGAGCCCGAGAGAGACTGATCTTCAGACCCTACTGCCAGGAAACAGAAGGTGCTGTTTTATATTTCTCTGTCATAGCTTACAGCTGTGAAGCCTTTTCTCTCCATCTTCACTCATTCATCCTTCAAGACCCAGTTCAGGCACCATTCCACCCACTCGCCCATCCATCCATCCATCCATCCATTTACCCATCCAGCTATCATACGCACATACATACATACATACATGTTACCCATTCATCATCCATCCATCCATCCCATCCACCCATTCATTTTACCCATCCAGCTATCATACATACATACATACATGGTATCCATTCATCATCCGTCTGTCCTTCCATCCATCCATCCATCCATGGTACCCATCAGTCATCTATCAGTCCATCTAGCCATCCATCCATCCATTCATTTTACCCATCCATCATACATACATACATACATGGTACCCATTCATCATCCATCCATCCATCCATCCATCTTTTCATGGTCCCTATCCATCCAGCCAGCCCACACACTCCTTCATTTTATCTATCCATCATACATATCTGCATCTATTCATGGTACCCAATCCATCATCCATCCATCCATTCATAGTACCCATCTGTCATCTACCCAACCATCCAGCCATCATCCATCCAACCAGCCAGCCCGCTGTCCCTCTGCCCCTCTGGCCAAGCTGGGTTCAAGATATCAGAGTTACCGTGGTACAGAAACAGCCAAAGGGCCTGCCCCCAGGGAGCCAACAGTCGAGTAAGGGCATCTGCAGGGCAAGCTCTAGCCTACTTCAGCCCATACACAGGTGGTCCCTTGCATGGTTTTGCCTTGCACAGCCAGTGGTTAACACATCAAAGATTGGAACCCAGTGAGTGTGTAGATAGGCAGTCTGCCAGCTTACTGTGATGAGAGCTAGGAAGTGGGTAGGGGGTGTAGGATCTGCTGGCTGGCAGCAGTGTGTGGTGTTCCTAACAGGACAGGGCTCTCAGATAAGTGACACTGAGCAGAGGTGTGCCAGGAGAGGGGATTCTAGATGGACTGGTCTTGCCAGCCTTGGCCTTCACTCCGAGGGAAGCACAACACAGATGCAAGAACCGCTGAGGGCTTCTGGGTGCAGGTGGCATGATCCACTTCTGCTCAGAAAGTCCCCCGATTCTTTAGTTTCTTCTCCAAGCTTGCAGAGCATCCTCTGCCTTCCTCTCATGGCAGATGCCAGGGGACCTATCTGGGGTGCTTTCTCTACAGTTCCTCCGGTGTCCTGCGGGATCAAGCCCCCACTGCCCCCAGTTGAGCCTTTATTGGACTACTGTGCCTCCCTCCTTTCTCTGTACCCTCACTCAGTTCCTGTGATCCCCTCCTCAGCCACACGCCCTCAGGCTCTCAGCTGCCCCTTCAAGGGGGCTACGTTGTATCCTTACTATCTGCTAACCCCTCTGCCCAGGGGATGGTGCTGAGAGCCACGGTAATAAGCATGTGGGAAAAAATTCTCAGCCTCCAGAAAGTGCATGAATACAAATTAATGGTAAGCAGGGTACTTAGTGTTCCCATGCCTGGAAAACTGGGGCAATCCCTTTGGAAAGCAACTTGGTCATATTTATCAAGGGCTGTAGATAAGGTTTGTGCTGTTTGAGTCACTTCTTCAGTTAGTTTCTGAGAAGTTTGGCTAACAAATCATCTAGACTAAGGAAAAGTTTGGTGCACAAGGATGTTCACTGAAGCAGTATATATCACAATGAAAAAATAAAGACTACCTTGAGTGTCCCACACTGGGGGACTAGTTAAACAACTTACTGTGCATTCGTGGGATGGAGTATTTTGTAGCCATTTAGAAAACTGTGGTTATGAAGAGCATGCCATGGCCTGGGACATGCTTATGGGAAGTGCAAAACAGGGCAGAGCTGGGTCCCTGTGTTCTGGGATTTTCTGGGCCCCACACACCTTCTGTCTGCCCCAAACACTGACCTGCAACCTCTAGCCTCCTCCCTTTGCAGCCCCTGGTCTGGTCCAGCCGCTTCCACTTCCTTTCTAAGTCTGAGCTGGCCCTGACTGACCCTGAAGGTGAGGCTGGCAGCCTCTTCCCTTTGCCCCACCTCCCCCACAGACCCCTGCAGCACTAGTTAAATATCTGCCCCTCATCGGCCAGCCTGAGGGAGCAGAGGCCAGCTGCTCTGCTTGCTCTGGGTGCTGAGATGGTCCTTGTGTGCACGAGCAGATGGGTGGATGTCCTAGAATCAGGGGGGAAAGAGATGAAAACATCAATGTCACTGGAGCATGTGTGCGGGAGTAGTTATTTTTAGCCTTTCCATTATCTCTTACAATGTCTCCAAATTGTTCACAATCATGTTTAAAGAAATTCCTGTTCTACAAATGACCCAGTTTCTTCCTTCAGAAGGGAGGAGCCCCGTGGCAGTGAGAGACAGCAGAGCACTGTAAGCTGGGGGTGCTGGGGGCCTTGGCGTGCGCCCTGCTTCAAAGCAGACAGCCGTGGACAGACATTTGGGGGACCATCAAGCAAAGCTGAACTTGCTCTGGTTATGGGCTGAGATGAAGGAATTAATGTTTGCTTTGTTCCTTGGAGTCACGGATTGTGGTTTTGCTTATTTGAAAAGTCCTTAGCGGTTAGAGCTAAATGCAAAACCGTCTACGGTGGGCGATACGGTATTTGGGATTAGAGGGGGATAGAAATCCCTCTGCCCTTGGGATGGCCCTGCGGGGTTGCCAGACCCCTTTCTGTACTTGTGAGAATTTTTATATTAAAAGCTAAAAGAAAAAAAAAATTCTCCTGGTTTCTCCCTCGTGACACTGAGCACTTCGCTTTGCTTTTCAGAGTGACCGGCTCCTCATCAAAGGGGGACGAATCATCAACGATGACCAGTCCTTCTACGCCGACGTCTACTTGGAAGACGGACTTATCAAGTGGGTCGCGCGGAGCAGACCTCTGGCGCGGTCTGTCGGAAGGCTGTGCTCCTGAGTCTGGGATGCAGATTGGGGTCGCACTGGGTGGAGTGGGTCCCCCAGGCTGGCCAGCTCTCTGCTCCACCTTGGGTGTGCCTGTCATGTCGCGGTCCCTCCTCTCCAGGCTGCGGGGTGCAGATGAGGCCCCTGCTTTGTTATGGAAGTGGCTTCAGTGCACCCCACCGAGACACACCCTGTCTCCTCAGTGGATGCTGGTCCTGGGGTTGGGGTGAGGGGAGCAGGAGAAATGGGGGCACTTGGCTTCCCCACAGAGCCTCGGCTGTGTCTCCTGGGGCTTCCCCTTCAGCCCTGCCCATGGCGACCCGGGTCTGGGCTTCGTTCAGGCTGCTGTAACTGGACGTCACAGGCTGGGGGGCTTAGACACTGCCATGCTGCCTGGACTAGCCCTGCCCAGCAGTCCCAGGGCTGGGGCATCTCTCTGCCGCCCAGGATGGGCTCTGTTTGAGCCCTGACTTTTGGTCACCGAAGCAACATTTTCTTAAGTCTTTATTACTGGGATTTTAAGTGACTTAGAGAAATCAAGATGTGGCCTAATCCCCAGGAGTTCAGAGTATCTGGATTTCTTTTTTTCAAATAAAAATTGCTCACACTCAGAGGTAGTGGTCTCAGCCAGGTGGTGACATTCGGAGGTCACGAGTTGTCATCAGATAAGTCCCTTGCTTGGACTACTGCAGCCAGGCTGCTAATGCTTAGGTTCTCCCTGCCCTGGAGGTCCACAGACCATTGCAGCAGGGAACAGAAGTCCATGTTTGGAAACCTTCGCCTACCTGCCAAGTCTCCGATGCAGAGTCCATGGTACTGGTGGCTTTCCTGAGGCCAGAGCCCAGTGTTTTTGGCAGAAATGAGAATGCAGGGCCTGTCAGGGCCTGTCCAGCTTGCTCGTGCTGCTGTAATCGCAGCTCTGGGCTCAACAGGAGAAATGTATGTCTTCCAGTGTGGAGGCTGGCGTCTGACACAAGCTGTGGGTGGTGTGGGTCCTCCTGAGGCCTCTCCTTGACATGCAGGCGGGGTCTTCTCTTCTGACCTCCCATGCACTGCCTTTCTTCTGTGTCTGCACCCTGACCTTCTCTTCTTACTAGGACACTGGTCACATTGGCTTAGGGCCCACCCGTGGGGCCTCCTTTTTCCTTTATAGCTGCTGTGACGATCTTGTCTCTAAATACAGTTACTCTCCAAGTTATTGGGGGCTCAGGCTTCACCGTATAAATTTTGAGGGCATGCAGTTCAGCCCATAGCAGTGTGTCTTTGTCTCAGTCATTTTCTCATCACTGAGACAAAACACCTGACATCTGGAATTTAAAGGAGAGGTGTATTTGGCTCATGGTTTCAGAGGATTCAGTCCATGGTTAACTGGTTCTGGAGCAGAAACCGCATGGCGGAAGGGCCTGGTGGAAGAAGCTGCTCACGTCATGGTAGCCAGGAGGCAGAGAGAGGAAGGAGTCAGGGGCAAGAACACTCCCTTCTGTTCACACCCCAGTGGCCACCTCCAACCAGACCGCTCTGCCCACAGTAGTCGGCTGTGAGCCCATCCATGGATGCATCCACTGATGAGCACAGCACCTCAGCATCCAGTCATCTTGTAGGGCCCCACCTCTGAGCACATGAGACTTGGGGGAGACTGGAGACCTGAACCCCAACCCTCTGAAAGCCCAAGAGCTGAGGGGACTTTTCACTGCCGTGTTCAGGGACCGAGTCCCTGTCCCAAGGACATTACCAGAGCTGTGTAAAGTCCTGTGCCGAGTGGTGGAGGGGCTGCTCGCCTCTGCTGGACCCAGCCCTGCCAGCCTCTCGATCTGCTTGTCTTAGACATGAGGGCGGCCCCGGCCTGAGTCCTCTGTCCACACCGTGCCTGTGTTGGGCTGGCTCAGGTGTTCTTTCGGTGGACCTGAGTTGTGCACCTTATGCCCCTTTCACCTCTTTTTTAAGAACCAAAGGCCTCTCTGTTGTTTATCTCCAGACAAATCGGGGAGAATTTGATCGTCCCTGGTGGGGTGAAGACCATTGAGGCCAATGGGCGCATGGTCATCCCGGGGGGCATCGACGTCAACACATACCTGCAGAAGCCCTGCCAGGGGATGACTGCCGTGGATGACTTCTTCCAGGGGACCAGAGCAGCGCTGGTGGGCGGGACCACAATGATCAGTGAGTGTGCTGCCCCTTCTCACCTGCAGTGCAGTCTGCACACTGCCCCTGCCCGTGCTTCCAGGCACTTTGCTCAGGGTACCATTCGACTAGGGTGTCGTGTGCCGCTGGGGGTGTACAAGGTGACTTTATAGGCATGCAGACCTTCAAATTTAAACTGTTTCAGTGTGTATTGAAGCAAAATAACTAGCACATTATGGGTATTATGATTGCTCAGGATGAGATTACAGATAGCGTTTAGATTCTTAGAGTCTTAGAAACATAATAGCCAGCTGCAGTGATGCATGCCTGCAATCCCAGCACTTGGGAGGCTGAGGCAGGCGGACCACTGTGAGTTCATAGCCAGCCTGCACTACATAGTATATTCGAGGCCAGCCTGAACTCTGAACTGTGCACTGAGACCCTGTCTCAAAACACCAGAAAGGAAAAAGAAAAGTAACTGGATGAGTTTAAAACTATTATGTAAAGAATGATCTGGATTATATGGAGATAAAGCCAAAAAAAAAAAATGTCCTGGAAGTGTGAAGATGACTAAACTTTGGGAAACAGTGACATAGATATTATGATGCTAGATGAGGTATAGAGGCTCAGAGAGTTGAAGTAACTTGTCCAAGGTTGCAGAGCTAAGTGGTGGTTGTATTAGTCAGAATTTCTGTAGTAATGCTACGTAACAAACAGCTCCTCTATTCTGATTTCCATTGCTATGGCAAAATACCCATGGCTTGGTCATTTTACCTATTTAAAGAAAGAAGGTTTAGCTCATGGTTTTGGAGGCTGAAAGCCCAAGACCAGGTGCCCCTTCATTCAGTCTCTGGTGAGGACCCCGTTGGCTGAGTGACAGCATGGCAGCTGGCACCATGATGGGAACATGTGACAGGGAGAGATCACAAGTGGGGAGGGGCCCGTCCTGCTCTCAGTTCCTTCCGAGGGTGGTGTCCCCAGGGCTCTGATGACTTTCACTGGGCTCCTCCTCCTGACGGCCCCACCACCTCCCCATCTCCTACCCCAAGGACCCAGCCTCTGCTGTCTGACCCCTCTGGGGACATAAGCAAGTCCTGTGCCAACCCTGGTGGCCCCAGATCTCAAGCAACGCTTGTTTTTCTTACTCAGAGCAGCCTGGCTGCTCTCCCACCTCTGCCCTGGGCAGCCCAAGGCTCTTGTGGTTTGGATCTAGAGTGTGCCCCAGAGTCTCCCGTGTCCAGAGGGGAGGCTTTGGAAAGATGCCTGGTTCGTGGACGCTGTACTCATCACTGGGGTGTGGCCTGGAAGGGTGAGTCCTTGTCCCAGGTCCTCCCTCTCTGCTTCCTGTTCGCTATGAGGTGAGCAGGTTCCTCTGCCACACCCTCCACCAGGATGGTCCTGCCTTGGAGCTGCAGGCCACGGAGCCTGACCCAAGCTATGGGTGACAGTGAACCCCAACTCCACCTTTAAGTTGCGGGTGTCCCAGCGAGGGGAAAGTTGACAAATACTGTTCTGTTGTTTGAATAGTTGCTTCTGCTTGGTGTCCACTTTAATAAGTGCCTTTAATTAAAACAGGCATCAGTTGATTGTAAATATTCTTTCAACTGTGAGGCTTTGTGATTCCCAGCAACTGAGCTGTGAGTTGGCCCGACCCTGCCTGCCTCTGTCCCCTGAGGGGTCCCCTTCTCAGCTCCCCCCACCCCCTACCCCAACGAGATCCGGCTGCCCCAGGCAGAACCGGGTGCCCAAGCTGTCAGGAGGGTGCGGCTCAACTTCTGGGCAACAAAATCCTGATCCTGTTTCTAGCAGCAGTCCGTGAACCTGTGGGTGGGAAACCTGGAAGAACGCAGCCTTGGACCTGGCTGGCCGGGACCCTGCTGCTGGGTTTGTCCCAGAGTCCAGGCCTTCGCCTTCTGCACCTGCAGTGTGGGCTTCGGGGTCCCGGCCCCTTGGTTCCCTGGTGCAGTGCCTAGCATGTGGGGAGAGGAGGAGAGGAGCCAGGACCCCGGGGCCCCCCTTGCTGTCTCCCCATCCCTGCTGGGAGGCCTGGGGAGCCCCGCCCTGGGACCTCGGCCTCCCCACTGTGAATGGGCATTTCCCAGGGACCACGAGGAGGCCTCTGCCTGAGAAAGCGAGGCGAGGGGCACCGGAGAGGAGAGCATGGTGAGGACACCCTGAGGCGCCAGGTCCCCCGCTTCCCTCGGCGGTCTGGGCGAGGAGCAGAGCCAGGGAGGCCGGAAGTGGTGTGCAGAGGTCCCGTGTGAGAGTGTACCCCACCGTCAGGAGGCGGAGGTCCGTGATGATGGGAGGGCAGCACTGAGGGCGAATTGTGAGGCTGGAAGGGAGCACTGGGCCTCAAAGGAAGGTGACAGTTTTGCTCTTTCTCATGAGGGCAGTGGAAATCAGAAGGATTCTACACAGAAGCAGGAAGTGATAATGATCTTTTTTGGGTTTTTTTCTTGGTGCTGGGCATCGGACCCAGGGCCTCACACATGCTAAGGCCACAGAGCTACATTCCAGCCCTTTTTAATTCAATTTTATTTTCAGACAGGGTTTTGCTAAGTTGCTTAGGCTAGGCTCAAACTTGGGATCCTCCTGCCTCAGCCTCCTGAATAGCTGGGATTCCAGGCACATGCCCCCACACCCAACTCTCTGATGGGTTTTTCAGGGAACAGAATAGAGTGGCTCCCATCAGATGTGGCTGCGCCAATGGGGAGGTGGTGGCGTAGTTCAGCTGCTCGGTGTGGCTGGCCATGGGGGGCAGCAGACAGGTCCCAGGCATGTGGGAGTCATCAGCAGACCTGGGACGGGGTGGATGTGGGGGTGCCTTGGGCTGTGCCCCCTGCCTGTGGCTGTCAGGCTGTGCTGTCCTCCCAGTGGGGTGGGCAGGCTTGCAGTGGGCTGTGGGAAGGGCAGAGACAGAGCAGTTCTAGGACCAGGCCTCATGGGCCGCATCCTTTAATGGCAAGTAGAAGAGTCTTCAGGGACAGAGAGAACCCCCGAAAAGTAGGACAAAAGGCCAGAAGGATGTGTTGCTTCAGAAGCTGGGGTAAAGCAAATACAAAGTGGGGAGGAGCTATTCACTCTGCCTCCAGGGGCAAGCTGAGTGATGATTGGACACTTCCCTCAGACCTGGAGACTGGAAGGTCTGATTAGCAAAGGCTGATGCTTTAGAAGAATGGAGGAGATGAGAGGGAAGAGGAAGGCAGGGCCCACTGTCTGGAAATCGTTATGGATGTCAGGCTGGGGAGGGGGTGCAAGAGAAACAGGGCAGTAACCAGAGGGAGGCAGGCAAGGCCAGGAGGGAGGTTCCCTTTTGGGGTCAGCTTTGTGTTTTAGGTTTTATCAGAAAAGAGGTGATGAAGTTGCTTTTCTTGGTCTCTGAGCTCCTCTCCACTGTGGCGTTCCATGCCCGGGTTGGCCTAAGGGTCAGGCCGTCACATAGGTCTCTGATGGTCTCCCCTGGACAAGTTCCTGGCTCCCTCTGAGCCCGGGTTTTCCACCTGCAGCCCTGGGTTGCTCATACTCACTGCGTGGGTGGTCTGAGGGCTGAGTGAGCTCACTGAGCCCTGAGCTCCCACTGGTGGGACAGGCACCATGGGTCCTCGTGAGGAGGGGGCAGTGGTCACGGTCAGGCTGACAAAGCCTGAAGATGCTGGCATAGACGCCACTGCTGTTGGAGGTGGGCTGTGAGGGGAGGATGGTGAGGCATTAGTGGCGATGCTGATGGCAATGATGATGATGGTGATGCCGATGCTGATGGTGATGCTGATGCTGATGGTGCTGATGCTGATGGTGGTGATGCTGATGCTGATGGTGATGCTGATGGTGATTGTGATGCTGATGGTGGTGATGCTGATGGTGCTGATGGTGATG